TATCTCATGAGATACTATTGTATTTCATTGAATTTCAGTGTGGTCGATAAGGGAAATATAGGCCGAACAAAAATGTGATGAAAATGTTGAATTTAAAAAAAATGTGTGACTTGTGGATTATAGAGGCACGACAACGTAATAAATACTTCTCACATGTCCGATTCATCAAGTGACAACCGTATTCGTTAGAATATTACGCAATATTCTGGATCTGTCTAATATTCAATTTTTGTTGTAAATGCTGACAAGCGATTATTGAACAATCGTCCGCCACCGCCACCGCCACCGCTACCGCACACATCAACCGCTTTATGCTATCTCGTCGCAATTTATATCTCTTGTTGCTAACTATCTCCATTTTCAAATTGCATTTTTTTATGCACACTCAATTATTCAAGAAATTCGATCAATTCAATTTAGTTTGCGTTCAATCATTCTAAATACATTGTGCAAATGCAAAAGATTTAATAATAAAAAAAAATCAACGAGAATTATATTCACCGAGACAAATATTATAATAAATGGTAACGTTTAAATTGATCAATGTTGATATGTATGGGAAAAATGTCTGTGTGCGCCCCCCTCACTTTAGTTGAATGCACAATCAGACAGTGCGCACACAAATAGAACATAATTCATTTAATTCGAATGTTTATGCGGAAAACGCTGTCGTTTGATCCAGTTGCGAAACAAGTTAGTTTAATCAACTATGAAGCAACGTACTGCAATAACATAACAAGATTGTGATACATTATAATGTGTATACATTTGTGTTTCAAAGTTTAAAATAAACGCAGGAAAAAAACTCCACACTCACAATCTGTAAGCAACTGAACGAAAAAAAAGGAAACAAACAATACGAGAAAACGAAAGAAAAAAAAAACAAATCTGAGCATTAAAAAAAGTGCCTGTTACATACCGATCTCAAATGAAATTCATCCGCATACATGGAATTAAGTATTGTCTAGACTCTGGACTACCTTCAATGTGAGCGCGAGCGCTTTATTTTATTTTTTTTTTTTTTTTTCATCGCGTATAAATGAAATCAATACATACACATCTATGCATATATCTTATTGCTGATACGTATACAATTAAATAAATAATAACTGTTGCTCCAGCGCATGTATGAAAAATATGCGAATCAATTTGACTATCGTAATTTATGATGCAACACGAAAAAAGTACACAAACCATTAGCAATTCAAACAAACCTATTGAGTGGTCATTTGAAGTGCATTCCATGTCATAAAAACACAAATGACACTATTTGATTGGATTGAGAATATTAAGGTTCATCGTCACATTCGTCAAATCGTTGGTAATCATTTTGTTAAGTCATTGCATACACAGTGTCTGGTCAATTATTTGCAACACAACCAAGTGTCACCGAAATGATATGATTACGTAATGTTTTGCCAACTCTGCCCTTCTAATTGGACGGCTTCATTCTAATATGATTCATCAACAATTTGTTATTATCAAAACATGATGATATGGCCATTTGAATGGATCGCAAATACCCGCACAACTAGTAGCACACTGTATTTGGCGTTCCATTGCATTTGAAATGTACACAAAATGTAGCTAAAATTGATGTATGTATTGTAATCAAGAACTTTAGCACATACAAATACACATGCATACAGTTATCCCAATAAATAGGAATTGAATTATTATCGAAGTGGATCCAATTTAACAAAGTAAGATAGATACTTTTTGTTGTTGTTGCATTCACGCAAATTTTCAGTTGGTTACAGTTTATTGCATAGATTCGAGCGAACATATGAAGGTTATGGGTAAACGTTTTTTTTTTTTTTTTTTTTCATTTTAAAATTGTGATGCGACCATTTTAATCGACATTACAAAGCCATCTCGCTTACTCCGTATGACTCCTTTGAAAGCATAAACAATTCGTACACAACTCGGCGTATAATTTATTTAAATTTCGTTTTACAATTTGCTTGATTCGACAAATTGAAGTTACGTGGCCGAATACATACGTGCATTCAAAAAATCAATCCAAATGAATTCTGTTGGCCATTGTCGAATTATCAAGCCAAAACGTTCCGTTTGTTTGTTTTCGATTTCATTGAAGCCAAAGCTGTAAACACACATCGAAAAACATGCTCAAGTATGGTCATCGTACATTGGTATGTGCAAACGCATCAAATGCATTGAGAGAAGAAGAGCGAAAAAAGCGTTATACATGCAATTTACTGCAATTTTCAAAAAGTGTGTTTCTGTGTTGCGAACTACGAATGGTCGACTGCACACTCAAATATGGTCAGTACAAAGTAAGTATAGTTGTTGTCAGCTTCATTGGCTTTATTGCTATGTTGCATTTGTGCATGCGACGGAGAATTTATGACGAAGAAAAAAGTAGTGGGAAAAACAACATACACAAATGAACAAACGAACAAAACATACATGTCGTGCTTCAAGTTCAAGTATATTGGGGCTTGCACGCTCTCTTCATTGATCACCAATGCATTATGATTTTGCGCAATTTTTTTCGGTTTGTTTTTCTACTTATATCTTTTTTGTGTTTTACTTTTGCTATTTGAGAGTTTGTTTGTGTGCGATGAGTAAATTATCATTAATGCACCATTTAATATGATTGGTATTGCTTTTCGATTCGTTATGCATCTGTCGTTTTGGAAAGCTTTCTTTATGTATTTTATTCTTCTTCTTCTTCTTCTCGTTATTATTACCGCACCAACTTAAGTATAATTGCCATTTTACATGCAATTAAGATGAATATGCAAAGCAAAAAGAAAAAAAAATGAAATCCATTTCATATTGGAATGCTTTTCAATAGAAATTTCGTTAGGCTTTAAAATATTTAAAAAAAATTGTAATCTCTCAAATGAGCGTCATTAAATGAGATCACTAAACATACACGCGACAATGCCATTAAAAAAATTAAAAGCGTTGTCACCAATTTATTGAATTTTCATTGAAAAGCCCACTAAAATTTCCTGAATTATGTACGCTTGCCAATCGGTGTGACAATGTGTATTTGTTCATCCGTGCTGTGCCGGAAGAGGAACAAATGTGCAATATGAAGTATCCAAGGTAACGAAATGCATATACACACACAAACAACAAAAACAGTAATAAAAAAAATGAATTTTGAAAATTCATCACGAAACGAGCTTAAAATATATGAAAGTTCTCATCAATCCTAAATAGCTCTGAGGCGTCACAATCATTTTTACTAGGATTTCTGCCATAATCAAATGTAAACGCATTTCCATTTTAATTATCTCTTATATCCTTTTTGGATTATTCATATATGATCAATTAATAATTATTATTTCATTCTACGAAACCATCAAAAATGTGTTATTCTCAAACTCTTCCTCAATACCATAAATTTGTGTGTTTGTTTCTTTTTTTCTTAGGAAAAATAATTTTTCAATTTATTACTGTTTTTTTTTTTTTCTTTTACAATACGCACACTTTGATCAGTTGAGTCATCACTTTAAATACATTTTGATAAATTATATATGTACATATGCAATCCGCATGTGCTACGACATATTTGTGCAACTTCTAAGCTGGGTCAGTTTAATTGTAACCAGTTGGTTATCCGATTTAGATGTCTTTGTGTCTTGGCATGTGGCTGTTTATATTGACAACAACGACGACAACGACAGAGCGGCAATGCCAATAACAACGATGGCAATGGGAGTATATATCAGAGAGGAAAAGGAAAGAAGCAAAAAAAAAACCGATAGAAATAAGAATCGCGGCAGATTTGAACGAATAACGATGAGAAGAAGTGCAACAAAGCGCACACCCGAGAAACCTCGATTACATCAACACGCGCTCTGATTCTATTTTTACAGAGTGAATTTAATGAACGAAAAAACGAGGCTATTGCACACTACTTACTCAATTACACATATATTGGATTCCGTGTCTTTCTTATTTACTTAAATTTCAATTGCTATTTGAGCGACATTTTCAGACAATATGCAGATGTACAGTTACACATAGTTGTGCCATACAATCTAATCGAAACCAAGACATTGACGAAAATGAAGCAATAACGAAACGCCATACACTCTCTCATGCGTGTTCAATGTAATATTTTATTTTATAGTTTTCTTTTGTTTTGATTTTATTTCGCCGCTTTTTGTTTCTCGTTTAAATCAATAATGACAGCAAAAAACTTATAAAAAACGGAGAGAAATTGTACGAGCAAATTCCATGGCTATTTCTATTCAATGATTATTAGTAGGGATGAATACAATCGATAACTCAATACCATACTCACTTCTATTCTCAATACCGAATGAAATATTATAAAATGTGGTGTGCTCGCGATAACACATATCACTGGTATTGTGTAAATGAAATATTTAGTGAAGAACATTATGTGAAACGCATTGCATTGCTCAATGGCTCTCAATATTCAATTAAATTGTGTAATTTGTTCGAATAAATGGCGAGAGAAGAAGTTCATGTTACACTGATTGACAGTGTAATGAAAAACATAATACGACATTTCAACGTGACTCATTGTTTTGAAATGAAAATCAACCATTAAAATGGCGCACAATAAAATTAAAAGACGAAATGCACGTGTCGTCAACTATCCGAAATGTCATTGTCTCTTTCTCTCACTCACACATCGTCGTTGATGTTTTTTAAAATACAATTCTAACCACATATCATCGTGTTAGAACCAAAGCAAAAGAAAATAAAATTAACCAAGAAAAAACAACAACATAATAATGATATTAATAATTCAAAAAAAAAAAAAAAAACCAGGGATATAACCTGCTCCCATGTCGCATCCCAGTTTCACAATGTATTGCGAAATACTATCGGGTAAACAAATTGAATTCTATTACGCAATACGATAATATTGCTTCGTCAATATATTATCACTCAAATAAGTAAATAACGTAAATAAAACCAACACCAAAGCAACAAAAAAGTGGAACGAGTATGCGACAAAGAACATTCAGAGAGCGAAAAATACTTACAAATTATGTGCCGTGTATGTGTTGTTGTTATTGTAGCGGTTGAGAATCGTTCTCCTTTTTTTCGTCGTCGTCTTCAAAATTCAAAATGTTTCTCTTGATTGAGAGAATGCGATGCTTGATGTATTCGGATGCAAGGGTAATGCAGTGCTCTCTTTCTTCGATGTGTCTTTTATTCACCAAAACAATAAAATCATAACACATATAGCGATCCGACCAAAAAAAAATGATGATCACTAACAAAACAATCCAATAAAAATGATGTTCATAACACAATCGAATCCTTGTCCGTTTCAAATTCGTTTCTTTCTTCTATAAAATTGTTCACGCAATTATTTGTCACTTTATGTGTAAATATCCTTTGTCTACGCATTTAAAAATTGTTCAATGTTCATATATGAAGGAAGAATAGTATTATGTCCTTGTTATATACAAATTAAGCACACATAAAAAATTAATAACTGGAAAATTTCGGTTGTGTAAAGTCCGAAAATGCGGTTTATCTGCCTGCTGCGCTTTCGTTCTAGAACGTGTGATGATGAAATAGGAACAGACCGAACGGGAAGAGTAATAGGCAACAACAAGAATGATTCATGAAATTTTACGTGTGCGTCGCACTTCTATATCACACATACAGTCAAAAGTAAAAAAAAGCACGGCTGTCAATGTTTCATGAACTGATTCACGATGTTTGTATTCCGGCGTGGATGAATTTTATTTGTTTCAGTCTCTCTCTTTTTTTACTTCGTTGCTTGTTGGGCACACCGTTTTTTTGTGCAAATCGTTTTATGCACCACTTAAACAATTGACTTTCACTTATCGGCTATCGTTAGCATGTGCACCGCTAGTTTTGTTTTGGGCAATTTATCTCGAGCTTAAGGTCAACAAAAATTATATTCGATTTAAAAAAAAAACGGAATTGTCATAGCAAGATTAAATCTTATAAACTGTAAACAGAACGCCGAACTAGAAATCACTAACGAAATTCCGCACTTTGATTGTTCGTCAACTGTTTTTATATTCTCTCTTCTTGATGTTGTAATGTCTCTTTTTTGATTGTGTTGCTCTGCTTTCAAACGCAATTTCTAAGATCGTTGAATATGGTCAAATTAAAATTGACAGTCCATTTGTGTAAAATCTTTTTTCGAATGATAACTGAATTGCGTTTCGAACGATCGCAGCTGAATGGGGTAGGTAAATGCGTTTCGCTACTTTCTTCGTTTGATCGATTCATTCATCAATGTGTTCGTATTGTTTACACTTGAAATTCGTATGTCATCATCGTTTTGTTGCCGAAATCGGTTGTTTTCATTAACTCCTTGTTTCTTGTTTGGCATATACTCCCGAATGAATTTTTGCAATGTGCTTAGTTCGTTTCGTTTCTTTAATATGTTTTGATCGCGCACTCGTACTACTTTTTATTTAATTTATTTCAAACGCAGACAATAGCAAAAGTCCCGCTTTTTATTATTTCTCCGAAATATTGCGTAATCGGTTGATAAAATGATATTAAGAATATTTTTTGTTCGTTCTGGTTATTGTTTTTTTTTCTTGCATTCGCTGTTGATCGCACTTACATTTATTTGTCTGAATTTTTATTCATCATCTTCTTAATTTTATCTCACAATTTATCGATATATTTATTCATCGATACGTAATTCTCAAATATAATTGTAAAAAATTCAAGCTTTGATGTTAACCAATTTGGATGTACTTTTCAATATTGGCCACTGTAAACAAAGTCACAAATAGTGATGAAATATTCTATTTTTTCAGGAAAACTTTTTTTTTTAATTTTAATTTTTATTTTATTGATCACGTTAATTTCTTAGTGAATTGTTTAAATGTTCATGTTTTTTTTTTTAATCAAATGGAAATGACGGTTGATTTTGTTTAGAATAGCACTGGTGTATTCGAAATTTAAAAAAGAAATGTTTAGAAAAGTGTTTCAGCGACAGAAAACACATCCGTTCATGCTCAACGTTAAACACAAACTGTTTTCACCGATTTTGTGTGTACAGATGAATTGATATGAAGTAGAAAAATGTTCCATACACACGAACAACAGCAGCCGTCTAGCGAATTCAGTGATTATATACACAATACGCAGACGAATGCGAGAGACCAACGGCAACGAACAGCAGCTCATGTCATACAGCTCACAATACGTATATACGTTCAGTTGGCGAACGCGCAATTGAGCCGCACGGCTGTTTTTGTTGCTGTTGTGATCGTTGTTGTTGTCGTCGCGACACCAAGAATCAAGTTGACATGAATCTTTAGAGCAACGGTGCTCCACTTTTTCAGTTCACACTTTTCATCGGTTTTAAAATTGGTCAATGAATGAGACTCTAATATTAAGTCGAATAATAATATTGTCGCCGAGATTAAATTGATGTTTTAACCGCAAATTTTAAATGAAAAAATTGTGTTCACGAAGAAATAAATCATAAAAATGGCAAAAAATGCAACTGATTTTTATGTTGTTGTTCATTTTCCAGTAAGCCCGATGTTGTATCAATCGAATGCGATAGTCAAAATGATATCAACAGAAATGTTTGATTGGAAAATCAGTAGGCAAATTAAAGTTAAAACAGAAATGAAGAAGAAAAACATACACCGCAATAACAACAACGGCCGATAAACAAACAGAAGTGTAACGTTCACATATACTCGTAGTCATATACGAGTGTCTACGTTACGTTTTCGTTCGACTGATACACACACGAAATTTTCATTCATACCGTGTATTATTCAATGTGCTGGCCCGTTGCTGCAACGTCTTGTAGAATTTACGTGAAACGCTTTCAGCTTATGCCGTTCGTTTTGGCGTGTGTGCACAACCGGAGGAAGTGTGTATAACATAATTTTTGCCAGTAGATTTTATTTGATTTCATTTCTTTCTCTATCCGTTTCTTTTTTTCTCTCTCTCTCTCTTCTTCACTTCTTTCACTTTGGTTCAATTTTTCTCTCCATTTCTTCGTCAGTTACTTGTTTTTTTCTTCTTTTTCTTGTTTTTTTCGTCTTCTTCTGAATGTGTTTTCTCTTTTGTGATTGTTTTTTGAGTGTTCTCTTTCTGGTCGTATGATCAAAGATGTGTTTCAAGGAGCGCATTGCTGGAACATTTAAATTCTTCGCGCGTTTTGTTCATTCCATTCAGATGTGAATATGTGCTTTTACGGGTTATTTTTCACTTGGATATATTCTTATTATCACCACTGATATGACAGTGCCTTAATCATTTGATTTTTAAGATTCTACAGTTGGATTTTGTTATGATTTCATTTCACAAATAAACAAGCAAACAAGCAAACTAAAAAAGAAATTTTACATCCAATTCGAATTTCGAAATGACATTGATTACAATGTTGGTATGTGCGTATATTAAGCAAGTAAAATCATTGCTTTCTATATAATAATAATGGATTAATTCAAATGTCGATCAATTGAAATTGTTTACGTATCGCACATGAAACGAATATCGTATAATCGCGTATGTCGATTTCGAAGAATTTTGTCGAAGAGTCGAACATGCAAATAAAACCGTTGAATCAACTCTAGATAAAGAAGATACAATACGAAAATGAAATACATACATGCAATCGATGATTTGTGCTATAGCCGTGTTGCATTGTGTGTTATATTCAGTCAATTTGCACGAAATGATTTACAGCTCCTCCAGTGTTACATATATACTAAATATATTTATAAATTTCAATGTACGAGAGAGAAAAAAAGGAATGCGCATAACACTCATCCGACCATTGCATGTATTATGCATATATAACGTTTAGCTGTGCCATGTGATCATCAGCAGTGAGTTTCGATTATTCCAATGTGTATAAAATGCGCGCACAGCACATTGAACCGGCTGACTGGATGATCTCATCCTTAAATAATTTTTTCTCGGCCAACGATTCCACTTTATTCTTATTTTTCCTCTTTTATTCTCACCACCCTAAATTGCAATGAGCAAAGAATCAAATGACGGCGATAATAATCAGAACAGCGTAAAAATGTATTTAATGGTGTTGATTTTTTATTGTTTTCGATTGTCGAACCAGACGTGTATATTATGTGCACAAAAATTAAATCATCGGAATATTCCGAATTGGTGTTGTTGTCGTTTGGGTTCTCATTTTTTTTTCTTTATCGGTATGATGTATTTCAATTCTAACGAAATATCATTTGATGGAACACAAAATCAAGCAATGCGTGCAGCAAATTGTCGATCCAATAGTGGTTCGGTTATTAGACAATACAATTTAATGTCTCGTGACAGTCAGTGGTGAGGGAACATTTTTATTTTGCATTGATCCAGCGCAACAGAAACAAAATTAAAAAAAAAATAAAATGTCAGAAAGTTGTCGGTCCCAAATTCCTAGAATTGACGATTTAAGTGAACTAAAATAAATGTTCGACTCGCAAACGTTTTTTTTTTATTCAGTCATATATGGGCATTGTTTTTGTTTTTCTGCATCGATTTAATATTTACACGAGTTTGCATGAACACAATCGTTTATACAGGTACAGAAAAGGCGACGAATCACTTCATTTTCATCCAAACACACGTGTTTGATGCAGCGAAACTTATTGAATAATTTAATTACCATAATGTCATTTTTTTAGCTTACTGACAGCACTACAGCTCTACAGCACATGGACCACTTCGTTTTTTTCTTTCATTCCAACGAAATCGGTTATTTAATTTCGAACGATTAACGTCAGAACCGCAAATTAATTATTTTAATGAAAAAATAAACAGCAACGAGATTCGTACAAAAAAATAATCAAAATAAAATAATTTCAACGATGAAGACATGATATCGATACACAAATTTATTGATATATTCTCAATTTAGAACACAACGATTATGATGCATGACTCTTGTGAAAATGATAACAAAATACACATAATTCGTATGACGTCTTCAATAACTGAATTTTATGTGTCGCTCTCATTTTATGGTATTACCCCATTTCCAGAAATTTCCTCGTGAAAAATCTGATTTCAGAAATGTAATGTCATGCGATGGAAATTGGGTTTTCCACAACTTATTATCTCGTGACAATGGACATTTTCGTTACTCAATATCTCACATCACTTTCGACTGAAGATGCATTTGATGTTTGGCATTGTTTCGCTCTCGTATTATAAATGCATACCGTGTGTTTTTGTTCGGCAAATGCCTGACCGTCTTACCGTCGTTTTTATTATCTAAATCGAGAAATCTTGTAAGTATGTTCATTCCGCTTATTTTCTAATCGTTTTGCCGTTGTTGTTATGTGTGTGTGTTTTGTTGTGTTTTTTTTTCACCTCATTTCTGTTTTCTTCACGATGCCCGCGTGAAATCAGTTTGGCAAAGAGAAAGTAAGTAAAAATAATGGGAATTAGGAACTGAGCTGGTTTGAAACAATTGTGAGCCACTAACATTTAAACAAGCGGCGCTCAGCATGGTTTATATGCATACCATTTCAATGCACAATTTTTTTTTTATCAAATCACACACATGCATTTTATGATTTGTATGTGTTTGTGCACGTGCTACTATCCACACACTGTCTGTTTTGAGACTTGTTCGCTGATGAATCGTTCAGCCATAGAAAATTGAGACGGTGAATGCTATATTAGACAGAAGCGGATAGCGGTAATAAGCAAAAAAAAAACGTTGACTATACCTTAACATAATTTTAGTGCTGGCGTTTTGTTTTTGTTTTATTTTATTTTTTTTGTAATCTCTCGCTCTCTTCTGTTTCTTCGTATTTTTCTTTCTTTACGTTGTTCACAAAAATAATTTCGATGATACAATGCCAATAACGTGATCTTTTTTTTATAACACGAGTTTCCGATCGAGAACGCAAAAAAATACACTCGAATAAAAGTTTCTGCAACAAAAAAAAAATGCTTCGAAACGTGATTTATGTTTTATTTTTCGGCATATGAGTAACACTGTCTTGTGTTTCTAATTTCATTTTGCATTTATTTTTATCTATTCAGTTGTATTGCCACATACGACATGTGCACCAATATAATTGCGATTAACGTCACCCATTCAGATTCAGATGTAATTTGATTGTACTGGATCGATTTTCAATTTGTCCGAGAACGACAAGAAATCATCACATGTCATTTTATTTTAAGAATATTCCGTATAGCATATTGATTTTGTTGAGCTCAAATATTTCATGTATTTCATGTTCGATTCAAATTGGCACACTGATTGATAAGAATTCGTTGATTTTTTTTGGAATTAAATCTTTAAAAAACTGATTATCGATTGTTAAAATATTTTGAAGAATTTCTACTTTACATTCACCTTGTATATTTTAAGCCACAAATTAAAATGCATAAATTCTAGTTTACAAAAAACTGTAATACTGTCTAAAAATGAATCATTGCTTCAGTTCAATCTGAATTGAGTAATAATTTGATGCTACATAAATCAATCAATAATTATTCTGCAATAAAATTAAAAAAGCTTTTAGATTTTTAGCGAAAATCTTTTAAAGCCGCAGTAGATTGTGCATTATCTCTTGTCAAAATTCGATTAAAAAATTTCGTGTTTTCGAAAAAAAGAGTTGTTTAATTGAAACAACAAGCACGCAAAAAAATATACAAGTATAAATAAAATAAATAAAACCGAAAATAAAACAAACAACAATAACAAAAAGCCAATGAAATTTCCACAGCTGAAGATAAAGAACGTTGCAGCTACAACAAAGTGTAATACGATTGAAAAATACAACAAAAAAAATATTAAAATAATAATACAGGAGAGAAGAAAAAAACAGTGCATACACGTCAGCAATGTCAATAGCAAGCGTTTAAAATGCATGATGCAATGAATACTATTATCACAGATATACAAAACGATTGGGCCACATTTCTTTTTTTTTTCTTTTTTTTCAATGCACATAGCTTGATGATGAGAGATTATTCAGGCTAAAATCCGTTCAAAAACGATAAGTGAAATAAATATAAAAATAAGAACAGAAAAT